TCAGACGAAATGAAAATTGAAAATTTTGGAAGAAATTGTGTGGCAAAGGTCTGGAGTAAGAAGGGTACTCAATACTCGTCGAAGAATACTATCCCATCTGATCTGGGTTTGCTTTATTGCCCAAGGGGTAAGGGATATTGAAGTATTAGAACGGAAGATGAAGGGAGCATATTATAGGGATATTTTCGAGAGAAATTTACGTCAGATTGCACATTGGGCTTGAAACCAGGTTGGGTCTTTCAACAAGATAACGATCTTAAACATACTACAGAGCTTACAAAATCATGGTTAAGTCAATCTCCAAATCTCAATTCGATTGAAAATTTATGGAGAGAGTTGACTGAGAATTCAAAGAAGGAACCCACAAAAACTGCATCAACTAAAAGAATTTTTTCATGAAAAATGGAAAAATATTAACCAAAAAACATACAAGAAATTCGTAGGGGACTATTCCAAACGCCTACATGCAGTAATTAGCGATAACTGTAAAGCTACAAAATGTTAATAGATGATTTAATAAATGTATTGTAAACTTCTGCGTAATTAAATATTGGTTTTCCTTTGTAGGATAATTTAATTGATAATTTTTTTTTTAAATGTGATTGTTTAACTTAGAGGTTAAATATATATGTTATTAGCAGTAAATGTTTCATTAATCTGTGTTAGAAAAACCTAAAGAAGCATTTTTGTTAATCAGTTGTAAACTTTTGCATGGCACTGTATTTCTTGACTTTATTAATCTCTGCAAGTGTTGAGAGATGTGGGAAAAAAAACTATGTACAAGGGCAATACAAAACACCACCTGTTATATCACTGCATTGAATAAAGCTAACAGATGCCAGCTCTACCGTTTTAACTTCAAAATAATCCTTCTTTAAGAGCGGATGATATCCAAGTTTAGAAACCTACGTCGTCTCCGGCTTTTTAACATATAGCTTGAGTGCAAAAGAGTTAGATACACGCCTTTTGTACAGGCATTAGTGTGAAAGTGAACGCAAAATTCAGACCAAGATTTGACATAGGTTCGTGTAAATAATAGTAATGCTAAGTGTGAACTGTAATTTGTGTCAATCGAATTACCTTCTGCCTATCGTCCTACGTAAGACGATTAACTTCATCTACGTCCAGGACGCGGATGTAGTTAATCAACTACATCCGCGTCCTGGGTAAGATGATAAATTACATCTGCGTCCTGGGTAAGACGATAAACTACATCCGCGTCCTGGATGAGGCGATTAACTATATATACGTCCTGGGTTAGATGATGAACTACACCCGCGTCCTGGGTAAGACGATAAACTACATCCGCATCCTGGCTATGACGATTAACTACATCCGCGTCCTGGGTAAGGCGATAATATACATCTGCGTCCTGGGTAAGACAATAAACTACATCGGCGTCTTGGGTATGACGATAAACTACATCTGCGACCTGGGTAAGACGATAAACTACATTCGCGTCCTGGCTATGACGATTAACTACACCCGCGTCCTTAGTAAGACGATAAATACATCTGCATCCTGGTTAAGACGATAAACTACATCCGCGTCCTGGGTAAGATGATAAAATACATCTGCGTCCTACGTAAGACGATAAATTACATCTCCGTCCTGGGTAAGACGATAAACTACGTCTAACGGCAAGGCCTCTGATCAGGAGGTTTTGAGGAGCGTTGAACCACCTCTAAATTGCTGGTGTTTCAATGTGCACGGGGTCGAAGTACCTGTTTTGGTCCCAGCTATGGGCAAATATTTGACCTGCCAACTGGGGTCAAAAGGCGATGAAGGTGTAAAAACAGATTTTCATCCCAGCAATACATTTTTGAGGGAAAAATTATTATCAGAAATACATTTTTGATAAAAAAACATTTTGCTAGCAATAGTTTGTTGAAGAAAAAAATTATTACCAGGAAAGCATACATTTTTGAATAAAAAATTATTACCAGCAATAAATTTTTGAAGGGACATACATGTTTGAAAGAAAAATTATTATCAGCAATAGATTTTTGTAGGAAAAATTATTACGAGCAATACATTTTTGAAGGAAAGATTATTAACAGCAACACATTTTTGAAGGGACATACATTTTTGAAGGAAAAATTATTACCAGCAATACATTTCTGAGAGAAAAATAATTACCAGCAATACATTTTTTAAGGAAATAGTATTACAAGCAATACATTTTTGAGGGAATATTTATTACCAGCAATACATTTTTGAAGGAAAAAACAAAATATTACCTGCAATACATTGTTTTTAAAGAATTACCAGCAACACATTTGTGGAAAAATATTACCAGTAATAAAAAGCTTGTTGGAATTAAATAACGCATTCAGTATAAATAACGAAACAAAACAAAACAAACTAAAAAAAAACAAAAAAACAAAAAAAACCTTTGTTAGCATAAACCTTCGTGTTTGATATTCCATAGAACAAAGCACACCAACGCAAATCTAGTGCCTATCATTATCTTTTTACTTTGGTATAAAAAGTACATATTCAGCTGAAACATTTCTCGCCTGAAGGCAAAGTTAAGAGAATTAATCGTGACATTTTTGAGCAACTTGAAAGTCACTGTCCTCTTGATAACGTTTATTAAGCCTGAAAAAATACAGTTCACCGTTAAGACTATTTTTTTTTGCTACAATAAAAAACCTAACCAAAAGAGCAACTAAATATCTGAAAAGAATATAGACTATAATAGTATAATATAATATTGCACTCTTCAAATAAATGCCCTCATATTGTGAAATAGAAACAGAACATTTTCATGGCGTGGGATATCATGTATGATTCGATTCAAATATTTCCCCAAGTGTAAAATGTTTTCTTATTGCAGGATGAAGTGTTACAGTAAAAAGGTAATGTTAATATTAACCTTAGGGTGAGATCATTCCAAGAATACCTAGAAGGAATATGATATACCAAAGAATGATCTTGAGTTGAAAACATTCAATACAAGAAAGAAATAAATAAATAGAAAATTAAGAATGAGGGAAAGAAAATACTAAACAATGAAGAAAATCCAAAAATAAAAACTGAATTCTTTGCGAAACCAATATCTGCTGACAATTGGAAACTAAATTAAGGAAGCCAATCAACTTAGTGCGATAAAATTTTGAGAAAAGTAGAATATCCAGATAGCATTATATAATCAAAACCAAAGAAGAATAAATGGATTGGCCTCAAAAGAAAAAAAATAACATTGAGTCACATTTCAACCCTGACCACACTGGAATATATATATATATATATATATATATATATATATATATATATATATATATATATATATATATATATAGTGGTACTCGCTTGGAAAAGTCTTGGTTATGTTGGCTTGTAGTAGAACAAACCAGTACCCAAGGAAAAATAATGAATAAAAGGCAAGAACGAAGAACATGTAATTGAGGCGAAAGCAATCGTCCAGAATGCAAGGTCAGAGTTAAAAAAAAAAACAAACAAACCCCAAAACGAGTCAAAGTAATTACGTAAAATGCTCAATACACGAAATAGAGCAAAACCTAATATAAACCTAAAGAGCCAGGCAAACCTACCTAGGTTTTACCTAAAGTGATCTTCAGGGAAATGCCGACCAAAAGAAAGAAAGAAAGAAAAAAGAAAACCTTTTGTGGCCGGTATTTCCCTGACGATCACTTTAGGTGAAACCTAGGTAGGTTCTGGCTCTTTAGGTATATATATATATACCCAGCAGATCGATTAAAAAATCGTTCAATTAGAATGGGGCAAAAGCAGCATCGTGTTCAGATGTAATAGAGTCTATCTTCTTCAATTACTTTAAAGTACTTTCATTAAAAACATTTTGAATTAATGCATTTACTGATATAACAGAAGTAGTCTGTATATATTCAATCGAATTTAGCCGAGGACATGAAGGGGTAAGATAGGCAACATGAAGATTCATTTCAGGACACAATTATTTTGGAGTTTTTAAAATTCACTTTGTCAGATCCACGACGGTGAAGGGGTGGGACCGATATGCCAATCTAGTAGCTCGCTTTAAATCATTCAGTTTGTTAACCAGTGAAAGTAGCGAGTTGAAGCAGTTGCTATGAAAATACAGAGGAAAGCCACGGCACGTCTGTGGGAAAGCGACTGTAGACGAGATGCCAGATCAGGACTAATCTCATTGCATATCCGTCCCTGGATTTTGTCTAGGATCTCAAGATGAACAGCAGGAGCACCAGACCATATATGGTAGCAGTATTCTATGTAAGGACAGATGGTTGATTTGTAGATTTGAAGGATGGCTTAAGGCGAGAAAAATCTTCTGGCGCGTCACAGAGAACCAACTTTCCTTGCGGTAGATGAAACTATAGATTCAATGTTGCTGTTCCTGTTCAGAACAATTATCGTGACAGTAATGTGGAGGTGGGATGACATTGCAGAATTTGGGGATTCTATTAAGAACCTCTAAATATATAGCGGGAGCATTTAATCATGTTTAATAGAGGAAGTTGTTTTATAATTTTCCAAAAGAATTTTCACGTAGAAGTATAGCAAATTTGTTCAGACTCTCATTAGCTTTGTAGCTATCGACTATAAATAAAATAGTTTGGTACAAGCCTGCAGGTTTAAATCCCGAAGTTTAAAGCAGTCACACTAAAGAGTAACAAAGATATGCTAGAATTGTGTGGAAACAAGATAGACACACAAATATTTTCACTGTAACGAACAGAGTTTTTTAAAGAAAAAATTCAAATCAGTAAAAATTACGTCAAAGTCTATTTTCAAAAGCATATTATTTCTTGCTTGATAAATGTGGAAAATGCTGGAGAGATGCAATATTGATTTTCACAGGGATTTTGTCTCCTTGTGTGTGTTTTTTTACGGTTTCTGATTAATCACATGAAACACCAGAAAATAAACATTTTGGGCCTGTCTGTGAGCAAAGTATCAGAATGAAAGGTTAACTAGAAAGATGATTGAGGTCAGTGCTCTTTTTCGGTGCTCTAGGGAGAGGATGGCGCTGTGAAGATTTAAGTCGAGATGAAGGAGAAAAAGGGTAAATATTGAAGGAAAATGGGAGGGGGGCGATGGTGGTAAGAAGGAAGAAAGGATTGAAAGGAGAGAAGGAGGAAGGGGAAGGACATTAATGATAATAATGGGGCTTCAGAAAAGACGTATATTATAAGCTAAGTGTTCGAATTGGAATGTGAGTTAAAAGATATTAAAGACTTGAATGAAAAAAGGGAGAAGGAAAACATGAAGTAAAGAGTGGCACTAATTTTAAATAAAGATACAAAGAAATAAAAGAACAATGTGAAAAAAGAAAGAACGTAGGTTATATGGAACTAAATCCAAGAGAAAAAAAATGGCGAGGAAGAAAGAGAAGTTTTAATGAAAGAAAGAAAGAAAAAATGAAAGATTGGCGGTGGACGAATGAAATTAATATGAAAGAAAAAATGGAAGGAAGGAAGCAGGGGAAAATACAAGAGAAATTAATGTTAAAGACAAAAGAAGAGATCTAACAAAAAAGAAAGAAAGAAAGAAAGAAAGACTAGCAGTGAACGAATAAAATTAATATAAAAGAAAGGATGGAAGGAAATAAACAGACAGGGAATACAAGAGAAATGAACGGTGAGGAGAAAAGAAAAAAAAAAGAAAGAAAGGAAGAAGATTGGCAATGGAGAGTACGTAGATTATAAGGAACTAAATACAAGAGAAAGGAATGGCGAGGACAAAAGAGATGATTTAATGAATGAAAGAGAAAGAGAAAGAAAAAAGAAAGACTGGCAGTGGACGAGTAAAATTAATATGAAAGAAAGGATCGAAAGAAAGAAGCAAGGAAGAAATTAAAGAGAAAGAAATGGTGAAGACGAAAGAGAAGATTCAATGAAAAGTACAAAGAAACGAAAGAAAGAAACGAAAGAAAGAAAGAAAGAAAGAAAGAAAGAAAGAAAAAAAGAAAGAAAGAAAGAAAGAAAGATTGTCAGTGGATGAATAACATGCATATGAAAGGAATGAGGGAAAAAAAGGAAGCAAGAAAGGAAGTAAGAGAAAAGGGAATGGTGATGGCAAAAGAGATTTAATGAAAAGAAGAAAAAAAGAAAGAAAGAAAGACAGAAAGAATGAAAGACAGACAGTGTAAGAATAAAATTCACGAGTAGGATGAAAGGAATGTAGCAATAAAAGAATTAAAGAGAAAAAGGGAAAATTTAATGAAAAGAAAGAAAGAAAGTAAGAAGGAAAGAAAGAATGAAAAGTAGAACGATTGGCAATGTATGAATAATATTGATATAAAAGGAAATGTGGAAGGAAGGTAGGAAAGAAATACAAGAGAAAGGAAATGTGAAGACAAGTAGGAGATTTACAGAAAAGAAAGAAAGAAAGAAAGAAAGAAAGAAAGAAAGAAAGAAAAAGATTGGCAGTGGACGAATAAAATTCATATGAATGGAAGGAAGGATCTTTTGAAGATAATACAAGAGACAGGAATGGTGAGGAAGGAAAAAAAGAAAAAAGAAAGAAAGAAAGTAAAAGAAAGAAAAAAGAAAGAGTGATGGTGTACGAATAAAATTCCCACGAAAATTAGGATGAAAAAATGGAAGCATTGAAGAAAATACAAGAGAAATGATTTTACTGACAAAAGAGAAGATTTAATGAAAAGTACAAAGAAACTAAAGAAAGATTGACAGTGGACGAATAAAATTCACATCAATGGAAGGAAAGGAGCATTGAAGGAAATACAAGAGAAAGGAATGATGAGGACAAAAAAGATATTTAATGCAACGAAGAAAGAAAGAAAGAAAGAGAGAGAGAGATTAGCAGTGGATAAATAAAATTCATATGAAATATGGATGGAGGGAAGGAAGCATGGAAGGAAATGCAAGAGAAAAGAATGATGAGTATAAAAGAGAATATTTAATGAAAAGAAAGAAAGAAAGAAAGAAAAAATGAATGAAAGAAAGAAAGAAAGAAAGAAAGAAAGAAAGAAAGAAGTTTGACAGTTGAAGAATGCAATTCAGGAAAGAAAAAAAGAAAGAAAACCTGACGGTGTACGAATAAAAATCACACGTAAATTCGGATGAAGGGAAGGAAACATGGAAAGAAATAGAAGAGCAAGGAATGTTAGCGACAGAAAATTTAATGAAAAGAAAGAAAGAAAGAAAGAAAGAAAAGAAAGAAAGAAAGAAAGAAAGAAAGAAAGAAATTGCAGTGGACGAATAAAATTCATATGAAAGTAAGAATGGAAGAAATGAAGCAAGGAAGGAAATACCAAAGAAAGAAATGTTGAAGACAAAAGAAGAGATTTAATGAAAAGAAAAGAAGGAAGGAAGGAAGATTCGCAGTGGACGAATGAAATTCATTCGAAAGTAAGGATGGTAGGAAGGAAGCAAGGAAAGAAAAATTAGAGAAAGAAATGTTGTGGATAAAAGATAAAAATAATGAAAAGAAAGAAAGAATGAAAGAAAGAAAGAATGAAAGATTGCAGACTAACGAAATTTATTTGTAAGTATGAAGAAAGGAAAGATGGAGAAAAAGACGGAAGGAAAAAGGAAGGATTAAAGAAATTAAAAATAAATTTAAATGAAAGAGAAATAAATAGTGAAGACCAAAGGAGAAAATTTCATGACAAGGAAGAAAGAAATACTGAGGCTTAGAGCAGAAGAATGAAAGAAAAAGGAAGATGAAGCAATACATTAAATCTAAAAAATCCGGATGGTAGGAAAAATCAAAACTGAATGTAACAATACAATATATTGTAAGGAAAACAAAGAAAAGAGTCCGAAAAGAAGCAAAATATAATGCTATGGAAGAAAACCTTCATTAAGCTCCTCAGAACAACTGACATAAAAAGACAACAACAGAAAGAATAGGAAAGAATAATAAATCGAAATTGGCTAACAGAAATTCTTCAGTGATTAATACACCAATTCCAAATTGTTCAGTATTCACAAGGATCAAATAATTAATTATTTAGCACCTTCTTAATATCCTATATATATATATATATATATATATATATATATATATATATATATATATATATATAGTATTTAGTTTTAAGCAAAACTAGGTAATCCGTATGGGTAGACCCAAGGAGGATGATATCCGGAGAGCTCAATGTAAATCGATTATTTCATAGAAAATACCCAAAACTCCAACAAACATCAAATTAAATTCTTCGTAGATTTTGTAGACATTTAGATTTATATCAAACTTTAACCCCCAAATATACCCTTTAATGCGAAATAACAGCGTCCAAGAAATTAAGTGAAACCTTCTCTCATCAGAATTGTTTCATTGTATCTTCTTCCTTTCATGTCGGCTCTCCTCTTCACCACTTACCCATCCATATCTAAAGATAGCATAAGTTAAGTTGAGTTAAGCGTTTGTCTGGCCCACACCAAGTGGGATTAGGGATAAAGAATTGAAATGGTACATCTAACTCACTCATGTCTTCTCTCCCCCCCCTCACTTCCTCACTTCGTTAATTTACATATGCTTAATACGGCCCGTCAAAAATGTGTAAATTTTTTCATTTCCACCTTTGGAAGTAAAGTCTCATGATTCAGAGCCCTTTAAAAGGGCTGTGGTGAAATAATTTATTGCATGGAACCTTAAAGAGGGTCTGTTTTTTATTCAATATATATATATATATATATATATATATATATATATATATATATATATAATGAACTGAACTATGGGCATAACTCAGTTACATAAACAACACTCACACGCACAGAGACACACACATATATATATATATATATATATATATATATATATATATATATATATATATATATATATATATATATATATATATATATATATATATGTGTGTGTGTGTATGTATGTGTGTTTGTGTTTAAAATAAAGTAGGCTTAAACTCACCTTCGTCCCTGTCTTGCACCAACGGCTTAGTGATAGAATCCTCGACTGATTCAGTTGGCTTACGATCCTAGCTAGAGGCAACCGTACATCTAGCCTCACTGATAGGCTGTGATACAGCGAAACAGTCAGTGGATAACAATATATATATGTAAGTTTAATGGCCAGAGTTGAATCAGACCTGGAATAGTAATATTAAAAAGCACTCAATACAGGCGTGAAACATAAAATAGAAGTAAAATCAAATGTAGAGTTTTTAACTTTAAAAATCGTAAGTTCAGTTGAATCCGCTAACTTGGTTTCAAACTTATCCTCGGGTGATATTTATCAAATGACCTCTTCATAACGCTTTCATTTTATTATTTATTTATTTTATTTTTTATTATTTTATAAACTAATGAATGCGACATTATTATTTAAAAAAAAAAAATAAACAAACGCACGACGTTGGGTGTAATAAAAAGGGTGGAGGAAGACGTGAAGAAGGATGAAGAAGAAGAAGAAAAAGAAGAAGAAAAAGAAGAAGAAGAAAAAGAAGAAGAAGAAGCAGACGAAGAAGAAGGTGAAAGGAAAGAACGTGCGTTTATTTATTTTTGAAAATAATAATGTAGCGTTCATTATTTTATTTGTTTTTTAAATAAAACTTAAAGAAGTTATTTGATTAAAATCACATGAGGATAACGTAAGGTTGAAACCAAAGTAGCACATTCATATCTGCTCGATGGAACTTACTTCCTGATTATTAATATCTATCTATCTATCTATCTATCTCTCTCTCTCTCTCTCTCTCTATATATATATATATATATATATATATATATATGTATGGGGGTTTTTGTGTGCTTGTGTGTCTTGTGACTGAGTTTAAATATAATAAGGAGCTACAGGTTTACAAATTTCTCGATTTTCTGATAAATACTTATTCTGGGAGGGACGCATGTTTTCTAGCGTGTTCAGCACGCTGAACAAGGCTAGCACGCTCAGTCACGATGACTTGTGACAAAGAAGAAGAAGAAGAAGAAGAAGAAGAAGAAGAAGAAGGAGAATAATAATAATAATAATAATAATAATAAGGAGGAGGAGGTGTGAAATTGAAAAAGCTATTGAAAAGGTTGTCAGTTTTATGGAAAGAAAGCCAACATTCACCTATGACGATTGCAATAACGCACGCAGAGTTAAAAACTGATTTCAGATCATTTATTTTAATCTAAATGTAAACCTTGATATCCAGACTTTGTAATGAATTCCTCATACATATCCGGAAGTTCTTCTTAGTCCGCTTGTCGGGAATTCTACTATATATATATATATATATATATATATATATATATATATATATATATATATATATATCAATTAAAAACGATTATGTTATATTTCTCTCAGCATTCGCTTATTTTGTTTACTATAAAACATTGAAAATATATTTTAAACCTGATTTAAGGTTGATTTTTCTTCTATTTTTTAATTTTAATCTAAATATAACCCCGCATTTCGGGATGGTGTAACCAATTCCTCATATCCGGAAGACCTTCTTAGTCCGGTAGCTAGGGATTCTACTGTATTCCATTTAAAATTTTTTATATCCCTTTCAACATGGCAGCCTCATTTCCAGAAATGTAAGTATTAAATCCGCTTTATTTATGATTCAGCTTTTTTTTTTTTTCATTGTCGACGAAACGATTCACAATTTACAATCACTATTTTCAGTAACCGAAATAGTTCAGTGTAATTCATATTTTTAATAATTTTTTTTATTGAAATTGATTTGCCTATCTATTCACAAATCTCATCATCCGTTTATTTGTATTGACCTCATCTTTTCTTTCATTTCAAAAGGGTCACTTTGTGACGTCGTCCCCCGGTCGCAGCGTCGACCGTGTCGTTCGATCTCGTTCGCGGCGCCAATTGTGACGTGACGTGGTCCAGGGTTTTGATCCTATGGTCACGACACCAGTTGTGACGTCTTTGCCGCGGCGTCAGCTGTTCGCTCCTCGCTGCTCCAAACGTGACGTTCTAACCCTTTGGTTAGATTGATGCCAGCCTCGTCGTTCCCAACCTGCTTCCAACGCCTGGTTACCAGGGTAACTGCACTGATCTCCGGTCTGCCTACCCACGTTGTGACTTGATCTTAGACAGACGAGATCAAACAGGGCTTGGGCCGTATGCAAGCTGAGTCCAACGGTGGTGATAACACACAAGAAAAATAAAAAAACACAAGGTCAAAAATATTGAAGAAAAAGGTAACAAACTTTTTATATCTAATTGCTCGGTACACAAGATTATTCCTACCTCCCGACCCGTTCTGTGGACTGTGGCACCACGCTTCTACCAGGCAACTTTAAGGCTTCGAGTTGCCTGCTCTCTAGAAATTTGCATTTCGGGGTGTGGTTTGGTTTCAACACAGGGCGCTGATCTCTGCTTGTCGTTCACGGCTGATCTCTCTCGCCGACCGCGGCGCAAACTCTCTGCCTGTCGTTCACGGCTGATCGCTCTCGCCGTCCGTGGCTGCAACTAAACTTTGCCTGTCGTTCACGGCTGATCTCTGCTGGTCGTTCACGGCTGATCTCTCTCGCCGTCCGCGGCGCAAATACTTCTCTCTTCAGAGTCTGAATTATTGGTCACTCATCCCGCCGTCAGTGCGCGAATTAACTTCTTCTCTTTGGCTTGCTCTGATTCCAACTTCTCCACTTAGGCCAAACGGGCTGCTTCA